ATCTCTTCATATTTTCCGCTAAAGTTGACAGAATTCAAGTAAAAAATTATTGAAACCAATAATCTTGTAGATATTTACGTAAATATCTTAGAAAATAGAGGTCGTATAAAAAATTTTTTCAAGCAAAAGTTATTTGCATTTTTACGTTGAATAAAATGCCGTAATAAAAAATATGTATTTCTATTTAAAAAAGCAAAGTTGACCTTGTTCTGACCTTGGCGACGCCATCCTATGTCAAATAACTACTATTGTTGAATGCGTTTTTTTAAGCCTTACAACTTTTGTCTGAAACATTTTTCTCTTCTGTGCTTGGTTTGGACATATTCGACTGGATGGATTAAAATGGTCCACCCTGTATATATTATATATATATAAAATTATATATATATATTATATATATATATATATATATAAAGTAAGTTAGTTAATATTATTAATGTTATTAACGTTACTTAACATTATTAACTTAAATTCTAAAATATCTTAGACATTAAGGAAGAGATGAAAGTGTCTCAGACAAAAGTTGTTAAAAGTTGTTATTTGACCATAACATCATCTTGAGAAATATATTGTCAAGATCAGTCTTAGTTTTTTAAATAAAATTATATGGTTTTTTAACATAAATCAATTTATACAATTATTTAGCATATACAAGCTCTAAGATAAAATCATCGAAAACTAAATACTTTCTAAGATATTTTGCATTTTATCCTGATACTTTAGAGTATAAGATATAAAATATTAACATTTTTGTATGTAGAATGATGGATAAAATCAATGGTTATAAAAGAATATAGAGAATTTTAAGAAAAAATTGTATTTACAAATTCATTGATATATGCAAAAATTGATATGACTAATATGCAAAGATTGGTATGACTGATTAATTCCTCTCATCATCCTATTATAAAAGTATTAAAGTGTTAGAAAATAGACAATTTTATCTCAGTACTTTTATACACAGAATAACTAAATGAAGCGATTTATGTTAGAAAAATTATATTTCATTAAAAAAATTAAATTTGACTTTGACAGAATTTTTTTCAAAGTTAATCTCTAAATCAAATAAATATTATCATCTTTTTCTCCTCGATATCCTAAAATTTTTGTTGGAAATACTTTTTCATATCTTTCTTCGTTTGCGAGGTATTTTAGGACATTACTTGACTCACTCTCACTCACTCTCTCGCGCGCTCTCTCTCTCTCTCTCTCTCTCTCTCTCTCTCTCTCTCTCTCTCTC